TAAGATTCAATATCAATGGGATTAATTTTTTGCCTTTATAATATCCCGAATTTCTTTAGCAAATTCATGTTTTTGTTGAAGTGAACATTTATGTATATTCTTTGGTCAAATCGAATGTTTTGGGTTTCAAGGGAAAAGTGTTTTGTGGACAAATATTTTGCGGTGACTTTTATGAAATAGTTTCAGATTCAACGTAATATTTTCGCGTGTTTGTTGACCTCATTGAAAGCAATGGGTGAGCAGAAGGCGTATCGTTTGGAGGGTGAAGCGTTGCAGAAGGCGAACATCAATCTGATTGTACCTTATATGGCGAATTCGAATCCGTTGTTGAGGTTCGTCGTTCATTTCGATTCAGATCGCATCAATTGTTTTTTGTTTCAAATGAACTACTAGAAGGAGCATGAAATGGAGCTTGAGTGAAGTTTTCGAATCTCTTTAATTCATCTCTGAATTTGCTTTAATATGAATATGAATGAGTTGCAGGTGTGCAGCTGCAGAAGCAATGGGACGACTGGCACAAGCCGTTGGTGACGCTCAGGTGGGTATTGTTTTTGGAGAAATTACTCCTTACCGATTTGTCCTGTCGAAGATTTTTGACGAGTAGAAATCAAAAATGCTTTTTCAGCATCTCAGTTTGTCTGTTTGATCCGGAAACTGAATTTGTCTGTTTGATCCGTTTTGTGGAGAAACTAAAATCCGGCCGCATCAAATTTCAAATAGAGCAAATATATTTTTGTTTTTGTTGGCAAAAAAATCGCCTGTTCGAAAGTGATTGGAATAAATCACGGATCAGTTCTGCATTAGATTACCCATTGTGATTCTATAAATTTGTCGGATATTCATGGCAAAAGGAGTGAAAGATATTGTTTGATTGCAGTTTGTCGCAAGTATGGCACAGTTTAGTTTCGATAAACTGAAGTCGTGTCGAGACGCGATTAATCGAACCGGATTTGCGTTAGCGTTGGGATCACTGCATCGATACGTGGGATCGTTAGGGAGTGGTCAGCACCTGAATACGAGCGTATCCATATTGCTGGCGCTGGCACAGGATGGAACATCTGCTCTGGTTCAAGTAAGTGTTTGAGTGAAATGTAAGGAAAGAGCGTCCCAGCGTGACTGGAAAGGGGGGATAGGTGGCGAGAAATTGCATGCAAATTGCAGTTTGGAGCACTGTTAGTTTGGAAACTTACAGACAGAATTGGTTATAACAATTGAAATTCTTTGGAATTTGTATCATGAGATAATATTCATAAATAAAAATGTGTGTGCGCGCAACTTTCAAAGCTTTATTCTCAGTCAAGAAGGATTAATTCTAAGTGATTATCAAGAATGATCAATTCTATAATCAAATTCTGTAATTAATAATTGATCACTTTTGACAGAGATTGATCGATGATCAGTCTCAGTCAAAACTGATCAATTCTAAGGATGATCTCAAGAATGATTATTTCATAAAGAAACATGTTTTGGCCGTTATTGGAAGAGAAAATTTTCAAGATGTAGTGCTAAATGAGAGGATAAATTCAGACATGGTCAATCCTAGCGTTGGGACTTATCGCAGACACTGGCGGTGGTATGTTCAGAGGATATGTGGAGCCAAGTTTGAGTTTGTGTCTTAGATTGCTACTGACCACGCCAACGGCTAATGTGGATGTTTTGCAGTGTGTTGGGAAATTGGTGAGTGTTTGATTAATTAATTGTTTGATTAATTTAGCGAGTTGAGGAAATTAACTTAGAAAACTTGGTTGATTGTATTGTAAAGAGTTTATTGCATATCAATGCATTGATCACATCTGCTCTTTACATCTCATTCAACAAAATGGAATTTTGTTTTTATTTTTAGAGTTGTGGAGAACGCATGTATTTTAGTGTGTTGTAGTCAAATAAAGCAAATTTTTTCATCAAGTTTTTTTTTCATTTTTTGAGAATTTTTGATTTCGTTTCACGGGAAGTATGGTTTGAATGAGTTCTGGATGGAATAGATATGGTTCAGTGTTTTC